TGTATCACGATTGACGTTTGTATTAATGTGAAGATGAGCTGTGGGCATCTCTTTTACGGTTTTGCGGGCCGACACTCAAGATGGTCGAGTGAAACCAAGGCAAGATGTTATCCCTGGCGGCTGCTGTAGCTACGGGCGCTGTGTGACTGATAGTCATAAACTGTAAGGTCACTGACATGCGTCCGCGGACAAGGACCAAGACAGGATACGCACAAAAATGACAGCTCACTCGCACCGCAGTCCGAGCGCCTTCTGCTATGCGAATAGGATCACTCGCAGGACCAAAGTTGCGCCAGGCGATTGAAACAAACAAGAGAGGTAGTGTCAGGATAGTAGCAAAACTGATTCAAGGTGGAAGAACAGAGCGAATTAGAATGAACAGACCGATAAAGCCGCCACAAGATATGAACGCCGGAGAGGAGAAGAAGCAAGACAGGCCGGGCCCGTGCCAGTAATACAAAAAACGAAGAAAAAGGTAGAGTTACAGATTAGAATCGTGATACTGTCGTGGAGGCGTTAAAGCACTGGCGGGATATGTGGCGGCAACCCGTTCGAGTAGCTATACCGGTGTGTAATTTCAAGGATTGAACGGAACAGACTAATGCAACAACACAACCAAACAACGCGTTCTCGTCGATCAGTATTTTAGTCTAGACTCTACAAGCAGTGTCAAGCACAGAAACCACGACTATTCGCGCCGCAAAATAATTGATCCTACAGGATTCAATTCTCATCAAGTACTTCGACTTCCAAGAAGTGCAGGATGCAACTGAAGAGGACATATCTTTATTCAAATCTTTGTGAAAAATTCCCAAGATACCGCATATGGCACGCAGCCTTGACGGAAACGTTTCGCTACCGTGATCATGATGTCCAAACATTCCCCGTGATGGTGGTCATGCGCCATTAAAATGCATCAATGACTAGTTTGCCACTATTATGGACTCAATAACAATAAACGTTAAGTGCTACTTTGATTCCTTGAAGATTCGTGGCAACTCATTCACACCAACAGTAACTTATGTGATTCTAATCAGTTACTCGTCTTCTTGGCCTGTGACCGTTACAGACTCGTTCTTGATATATTCTTTCTATGGCCGACCTGCATGCTAAGAATCTACTGACAACACAGTCAAACTATTTACGGAATTCACTTACCCGCCATCATGATGTGTTGTCATTTATTCTACCACGGTAAGCTCTACGACTTATTGTGTATGCATATATAGTGATTTTTCCTGATTCCCACCTTCAAGCTTCGTATACTAGCCCGGGTCCACCGAACTCTGTTTGTCTTGAATCCATACCTATCACCACCACTGATGTCTTTAGTCTTCGTCCGAAACATTGGCGACTGCTATACTCTTGCTAACTAATCCCCAACTTGCCAAGATTCAGAGGTCCAAATTTACAACATACAAATTCGCACGTGTATTTGTTATTGATGGAATACGCCTGCGAAACCGGCAAGTAAAATGCTCATGACTATGTATCATTATGGTGCTAATTTTGTCCATCGTTTTACTCCGCCTCGCCAATGCAACCGTTCAACAGTTGGTTTCAATGCCCGTGTTTCCGACAATGTTCCGTGATCAAACTTCGCTAAGCAAAGTCCATGTGCATATGGCATTACTATGACAATTAGGCTATGGTGAAACGTTGCCTCGCAATGAGCCATGACTATATCCAAGATCTAATGGCCGTAATACCTTTCCGCCCTTCCTGTGAGTGTTCATAGTGGCGGCCTACAAGATCGGGTCCAAAAACGAGTTCGCCCTCAAGTCTCGACTGACATCGTGAAACGGAGGTGAACTTTGATTAGGTAAGCGAGCACACTTGATGATTGTCCCAGCTCCGAAAGTCCAATGGAATCTTGGGACGATCCGCGAGGTACATTAGAAAAAACATTCAACCATCATTTGGTACGGAGGTGCTACCTCAAACCAGTCCAGTTTTCAAAACCAGAGTGCAATTCTGGGGCGTCTTCCCTAAACGTTGGTTCAAAACTACCTTCAAGCAACTCGCAGCAACATCAAACTTACCGCTGATCAAGCTCGCACCTACCACACGAACGAATATTTCATTATGGCGCCGGTAAATCCCCGCTGGCCTTCTTCACAGATAATATCGGGTCGCATGCTTTTTCTCCCTATTTGTCAATCCTCTGAACTATTTATGGGCTGTTTCTCAACCTGCTCTCAGTCTTCCCTAGGCGGACCTTGGGCGAATGAAAATAATCGTTACTGACACCTGTCTTCTTGTACGCACATTTCGGCCCGTGCTCTTTGTCCTGGCTCTGTTCAAAGAACCCACCTGGCACAGCATCCGAACTGAAAACTTCTCTTCGCAAGATCCTTCGCCATCAGTCCTAACTGAATGCCCTGCACCCACCATGGCCAAGCATTCATGTTTGCTCTTATTGATGGCTCCTTTCGTAATACATTCATGGAACCCTCATGAAATCCTCTGCTCGTAGCCAACTCCTTCACATCTACAAAATTATCCTGATACTACCATGAAACAATCGAGGAGGTAGCCCGGAGCTTTTTACCTGTGGCTGGCACTTCAATTCTGTACATTGGGTGTTGTAGGCTCCGACCCTACGGCTTTGCAGGATATGTCCCGTCTTCGTTATTTGATAACTAGCAGATATCTGTGGCTTCGCCACTGAAAATAGTAAGCAAGTTAAAATGCTTATTAAACTTCTAGCAAGAGTGAGATAAACATAGGGCAGTGTCAGCTGCGCCCCACTTGACATACTCAACGTGTTTCCTACTGAGTAATGGTGTGCAAGTATAGATATTACAAATGAACAAAACGTTGTCAGCACATGTCGGTCTCTGTCTGAATCTGTAGTATGTACACATTGATTGTCAGTACGTGACACGAATATGATTGAGAACTGGCGAGTCACGCGCACGACTCGCGAGGGAGGCTGGTCAGCTATTGGCAATTTGGCTTCCCGTCGGCTGAGCCGATATGCTCACAAATCAATTCAATTCAAAGTGCTATCGGGAAGTTGAGGCGCAAACGCCGTGACGATTTCTGACACAAATAGCCGCTGGCTCGACGTGTCAAATATTGTGTCCACCCTGTCAATTGTGCTGGGTATTTGCAATCCATCTGCGTGACCTCCTTTTCAGCTGTTACGTTTTGTTTCCACCTTCACGACACTGTCAGCTGTACATGGCTACTACCTGCACCTTCTCAGGCTATTGCTGAGAGAACACATCATACATTGGTTTAAGCCTTGCTCACGGTCAACCATATATTGCATTGTCCCGTGCGTGTTTATTCTCAGGAGCAAATGAGAAAATATAAATGTCTGTTTTTGTAGTGGAATGGCATGGGTGTGCCAACAAAACACAACGCCCGAAGGTCGCCGCTTGTTATTATATAGGGTAATAATAATGTAAGTACTCTTTTCAAACACGCCGCCAGCCAACGACGAGAAACGGAGATGCGAAACTAAACAGAACCACGATCTGAATTGTGGGACAATGGGTGTACAAGCTGAGGAAAATATGTCTACAATGGGCTCTATATGTGCGTGCACACTCTCCCAAGTTAATCCCGATGCCCCATGTTAAGTATTAATAAAAAACATTTCAAACGGAACACCGATGTCCAAGGCAGTCCCAACAATGCACAAGGAAGGGGGTCAGAGACGTACGAAAGACGGAAGAGTCCATGGTACAGAAGGGGCCAAAAAGAATAAGAATATAACCCGGCAATCAGTTCAGGAAAGTATCAATAGCCATCATCCTTATCACTGTCGGGGTCGCCCTCGAGGACACATGATGGCATAACCACACCTGGAGGTAGGATAACGGTAATGGTACCAGCCTTTTGGTCGGAGAAACACGTGACTCCGGGTTTGTTATAAGAGATCAGGACCTCACAATAATCCTCATGTAGGGTGTCTTCTGCAATGGGATGAAGAGCTCGCAGAGGGATATTGCATCGCTCGTCACCCGGACACGCAGGAGCAACATGGGACTTCCAGGTGGGTCAGATGGCGATGACAGTGGAAACAACCTCCTACTGAGCTCAAGGCTTTTCATTCGGCATAGGTAGAGGAGACGGAGGATTTAATGCGTGCGTATTAGACATAGGAGCAATCGAGGCAGGCTTGAGCATTGACTTGAGTACGGGCATCGTGAAGCCTTGCGCAACGAGGCTCCACTACGTAGTTGCCATGGCGTTGATCAGTGCGTTGACTTTCGACTTCTCGTACGCAAAGTTTGGTATGGCCTGGATACGAAGTTGAAGCACGGGATCGGCAAAGAAAGAAGAGGTGGTTTCGGAAAACAGTCACCGATAGCATAACCATCATTCGCCGAATGAAGCATGTTACGAACTTCTTCTAAGGAAGCGACGAGTGAGCAGAAGCCATCGAAGTCTTGCGAGACGTTGTAGAAGCGGGCGAGGGTACCGAGACACCAGCTGGAGGGCATGAAACGATCCTTGAAGTGCGAGGCAAACTCCTCCCATGTGGTAAGTTGTTTGAGCACATCATGATTCTAGTTCTACCAAAGTCTCGCGCCTGGTTCTTCCGGCCGGAGGTCCGCAAGCACAATAAGTGGTTGGGCAGACATCGCATATACTACCGGGTTCGAGGCAGACCACATATTTGTCTTCGCAACAGTCAAGCCAGGCTCGGTCGTACCAGAGAATGCGGGTAAGTCAAGTTTGGACATCTTTGATGGCACTGCAGAGTCCAGACGCGATGGATGGTTTTGTGTGAGAGAAATGCGAGACTTGGAACCAGACATGCTAAGTGCGGTGACACGTCGCGCTATGTTCAACAATGGCATGTCATGCTGGCGACAGATGAAGCAGGTAGTAAATTACGGATATCGGACGAATGCAAACCCGCAGGACCTTTGAGCGATGGACGAACTTAAAGTCAGTGTCACGTTAGGCTCGTTGACCAAGGTATTAGCTGACTAAGCCATTAATTAGACGGGAATATGTTAGAAGCTTATATGAGACGTCATCCTCGCGTTCACTGGAACTAATTCACAAACTCACTGGTGGATTGGTCGATTCGCTGGCCAGATTCCTGATAGATGTGGTTGAGAATATATCATAGATGGTGTGTTTTTTACACATCGTATTCTGAATTCGTGTGCTCACTGATAACCTCCCCAAAAAGTCACTGTATTCTCCATGACGTCTTCCGAGCGCTCGTGCCCGAACCTCATGAGCGTACACCGGTTACTGGAATTAATATCCTATACCTTTTATTCCCCTTTCTGCCACTAATTTACATGGGATACCTGGCGAGACGGCCAGACACGTTTACCTTGCGTCTTCTACTCCTTCCGTTGGTAGTCGCAGTTGCCGTCGGGACCTACTTTCGTTTCATGTGGATAGAGCCACATCACAATATCTACAACTGGGGCCAAGGTAAAGTAACAGCACTTCCCTCGTACTTGTAGAGCCACTCAAACCGCCACAGGCCTACTCGCAGAAGCCATTAGTGCCAAGGCAATAGATTTTGCATGGAGAAAAGAGGGTATGCTCAAGATCAACGAGGTTCAGCCAGGTGTCACGAAAAAATCCCATGCTGTCAAAGCAAATGGTGACGCGCATACAAAACCAGCCACATCAGATCCAGCCACCTCATCGCTTGCTTGGCTATATGATGCCTTGGAAGTAATTTTATCCAACAGGGGTCTTGGTTGGAAATTTGGTATGGGGATCCACGTACCTCGTGAGGAGAGATCTCTCAAACGGAATTCATTCTTGTTTGCGACGTTTATATCATTTGTCGGAAGCTACATGATCTTCGACCTCCTCGAGTCGCTAATCAAGCTAGTACCTGGCGTTGGCACTCCTCATGGCGGCACCATATTCAAGGCGGAACTACCATTCTTCTATAGATATACTCTTTCTACAGCCATCCACGTTGCAACTGGCTCTTGCATTTTGGCTGCCTTCCAACTCTTTTACGATTTCATCACGATCTTTGCAGTTTTGCTTTTAGGAAGCTCCCCTTCAGCATGGCCTCCCGTGCTAGACCATCCTTGGCAATCTGACTCGCTTCATATTTTTTGGTCCAAACGTTGGCACCAAATTCTTCGAGAGATTTTCTTTGTCTTTGGAGGATTTTTTGGCAAGTCCATCGCAGGAAAGTTCGGCTTGCTGTTTGGGACATTCATCGGGTCTGGATTATACCACGAACTCCCTGCATATGCACTCGGGAGAGGTTTTGATACCATCGTTCCGCTCTTTTTTGCACTGCAGGCTCCTCTGCTGCTTTGTGAAAAGGTCTGGTACAAATACACAGGATACCGCGTCAGTGGATTGTATGGGAGGTTGTGGGTTTACTTTTGCATCATTGTACTTGGGCAGCCCTTATGTACGTGCTTGAGTATTTTATGTGGATGCTGATCTTAATGTGCTTTTTTGCAGCGAACTCTTGGCATATGAGAGGTCTTGGTGGTGGGCTCATGCTTCCTCCTTCATTAAGCCCTGCTCGCCAATTTATTATACCATCTATTCGATATTCCCTCAATGGTACGGGCACGGATATCCTAGAATTTATAGTTGGGCCCACGTAGTCGATATTGCCTTTTGCTACCACAAGGTGTAATAGTTATTGGTCGGTCTTGAAAACGTATGCCATAATCACAACGACTCCCCAGTTATCTATCGGTTCCTCCTTTAATGCGCCTCAGAGGAAACCAATCTCTACCTGATTGATTCACCACCCGCTAAAGTATACCAACCTAGCTCCTTTCCCCAACTCTTCCACATTCTATCGATAATCCTGAGTTTTTCCGATCGACGCAATCCAGGATCTTCTAGGTCTTCGATATCTTCCAAAAATCCCTCCCGAAGTCGCGACCGTGCTGGTAGCGACGTCAAAGCGTACTCTCGGAGGTGCGCCAGAGATAAAACCAACAGTCCTGTCGTCAAAGCAGGAATGGTGTCCGAGTGCAAGTTCTCGGTATCGTGATGGTGATGCGACAATTTAGGTTGGAACAACAGAAGCCGCTCAATACGCCTAGAAATGCAGAGTAAGCGCGTATTTTCCAAGACACTAGTATGTTCAACCTCATTGCAAGCCAAACACTGGTCTTTCTAAGTTTCCCCCCATACCTGCCAGGTCTTATAGACAGTAGTCCTCCTAGGAATCCTCCTGCGACATATATGACAGCAAGGGCTGGCGCGACACCAACGAATGCAAAAGTAAGTTCTTGAGACTTCAACAGTTTATCGATGCCAGCCAGTGCTTGATCGAGATCCACCTAGGAACATTTGAATGAGTAGTAGCCTGATAGAGGCGCGCTGTGCTTACTTTGGCCTTCTGGACCTGAATGAACATTGACCTCAAAAGCGTCCCCATTATTGCAGATTTCACCGGATTTTTGATATCCTCTTCATAGATCTTCAGCACGGCAGTGAGGTCACCCTGACGTATCTGTTGTGAAAGTGCTTCAAGTTGCGTAGAATCATAACTAAGTTTTTCCCTAGCGAGAGCAAGGGTCATTCGCTCGAGTGACTTCACCGACAATCAGAGAATGACTTGTAAGTGGTAAGATTGCTCACATCGAGGTCAGCAGCAACTGCTTCTCGCCTAACAATAACACCATCTTCTCCACCAGCACGGATAGTCATAAGGACATCTTTTATAGGGTCAAACAGCCAACCCTTGAAAAAGTTTTGTACGGTGTTCACCACATCTAGCATAAGGTCGGCTAAAGTTGCTCTAGAAGCATAAATATGCTTGGCACAATAGAGCATCAGTGGGGGAAGCAGCAATAAGCGAGGCCATAACAGGGTAAGTCGGGATGGTCGTCGCAGATCGTGGGCGTCCAGGTACGCGTTATGTATGATTCCATGGTTTTGAAATGCACCGAGGAGTTGTTCGATCAGAGGGAGAGCAGATTTCTGTGATACATCGCCTGATGTGACGACAGCGAACTCGAACAGAAATGCCGTAAGGGCTTGATTGTCAATTGACGAACCAGTGGTTGAACCATTGAAGTCGGCCTCCAGACCATTTGCAAGCAAGGGTCGCAACTCCAAAAGCTTTCCAAGGACCTCCGCCCTTTCGTTCCTCACCTTCTCCAATTCCTTTCTTCTGAGCTGACACTCTTCTCGAGCAAGACGGAGAGGAAAGAGCAGGAAGGAAATTACTCTTTGTATACTGTACATGACCCCAACACGTATTTTCTCAGCCAAGGCAACGAGGGAGTCTGGTCGCGTGCTTTTCCCTGCGGTAACAGGAGAAAATGATGCCACAGCAGAGGCCTGGTTGCGCAGATAGGGAAAGAGTGCAACAGTGAAGGGGTTGAGCCGAATAGGCGCAGCATCACAGTAAAATCTTGCAACAGACGATGGGCAGAACGCCGACAGTCGAACAGACATCTTCTGTGCCTGAATCAACTGCAAAACTCTACGAAGACGACTCGGGAATGCTACATTTCCAAGCCCAAAGAAGCGAAAGACATAAGGGACATGTGCAGTTCACAGCGCACAATGAAAATAAACGCACACTGTAAGAGATACGACGCTACAGACCAGGTAGATTGTTCGATATCGGCCCACCACTCTGCGTCAAGCTGAGCCGCACTTGATTCCTTCAGGTAGAGATCCACGGCAAGCGCATACAGGTTGAAAATGGTTTTCCTGAAGACGGCATTGTAAAAGACAAGCTCCTCGCTGTTGGATTGTAGCCCTGGTTTGTCCTCCCGAACAGAGAAAGTACAGAGAAAGTCTACAGACTCCTGCACAGTAACTTCAGAGAGTGAGCCCTGTAGCATTGCATGCGTCGACTTTAGTGTACCGCCATCGCTTGTAGGCTTAGTCTGCGTAGATAGTTGCAGCCTAGTCAACGGAATCAGACGTTCAGTGTAGTGAACGACGAAGTTCGATGTCATGAAGAAGCTGGGTGACGCGTCTCGCTTCAAGACGACTGCAGTGGGAATAGTTTGGACTAATAAGCAAGTTTTGGTAGAAGAGTCACTTCAGAGTGTACTCGTCGGATCATTTAAAATGTTTGTTGCAAAGACACAACTGCAACTGGGCATTATGTTTGGCCACACGTATAGTACTGTTCAATATTCGGTACTATCCCTTCTGGTACCGCACTGGCAGCCCACAGAAGTCGGCACTTTCACAAAATTCGTATTTCTGGCTACTAAGTAGTAAGTAAGTTAAAACACAGAACTCTTAATAGTGATCAGTGCACGGCCCGGCTGCTAGCCGTGGGCCGGCCCAAGCCGAGCCTGGGCCTCGTACACCGGTTCATTACGTGACTTGAGGCCAGAATACTGTAGAGTTATGATACAATAGCCCTCCGGACACACCTGGACCCGTTATTTCGTGTATCTTGCACCACAAACAGCAGATTCTTGACCTGAACTTCCATTGATATGTATTGACTACAACTGCGAGAAACATGGTGAAAACCTCCGATGCCCCATGGATCGAGATGAGGAAATAAAAACATCAAATCAGGCGTACAGCGTCCGGCAACCGCTCATGGCCATGATATTGAAAGTTGACTAACGAGTTGAGAGGCTGGCATGGTTGTCTGCATAGCAAGTATGCACAACAAGAAGGACAAAGCAAAAGAGGTGCCAATGGCAGGGCTGATGGAGATTGGAGATTTGGTATGCAGCGTAGTATTTCTGACAATCACAATGTGTCAGTGATAAAGCCATATGGTTCTGCCGCCTTACAAATCTGTATATCTGACTCGATCACTCTCAGGATGATATACAGGGGGATACTCCCGCATGGTATGGTTCGCAGCCAAAGGAGGACAGCCGCTCAAGAGCACAAGAAGTGTTAGTCAAACCTTAGAATTCTAATCAATAAACTGGATTGTTGTTGCATGGGATGACAGGCAAAGTAGCAATTGCAATCACAATGGTATCACTAAAGCATACTCTGTGTGCATAAATAAATAAAATACTGGACAATTCATGAGACAACTTGAGTCAGAGAAGGCGTAGAGAAACTCACAATAACCAGTTAACCATCCTCCCAAGACACCTGTCCAGAAGCCCACCTATCACCCCACATTAATCGTTTGTGATAGATTTTCCTAAGCTCTCTAAATTCTCTAATGAACTCATCCACATCTGAGGCATCGTTAACCAAGGAGGGTGAAGGAGATGATTGCACAAATGATGACGCAAGAGCCTCAGAGGCATCATCTTGCGCGGTGGTAGCATGACGAAGACGAAGTAAAAGAAACTGAGGGTCAAGTCGCTGAAAGAACATCAGATGCTAGCTCGTATGCCACATTCAGCGACGTACTTGATAAACTTCTCGTTGTTCGCGCTCGAGATCCTTCCAGCGAGACTCCATAGACTTGGCGTTATCGAAGGCTTCTTTCGTTTCAGTTCGCAACTCATACAGACGGTCCTGCAGTGATAGGTTTGTTTCTAAAGTGAGATGAGTCTGGCGTGCTGTATACCAACGAATACTCAAGTTACTTACGAGCGATGGCTTCATTTGCCATACCTAGCTCTGTCTGAGCTTGATATAATTCCTTGACTTGACGCAAGGAATGGAATATGCTCTGGAAGTAAGCAGGATCATTGAGGATGTCTTCAAAATCTTCACGTCTGCACAACATCTAAATGAGCTAGAAATGCGGGCTCGTGTATGATACACACGTAAGGTAGGCTAGCTCGGGAAATTCATTCATCAAAGGTGTCGCAGCCATAAATGACGCGGGATAGTAGTTCAAGTTCAAGTTGACATCTAAAGGAAGTCAAGGACCAGTGCCGGTGAGAGTTCGACGTTCGACGTTCAGGAGGCAGTGTGCCTTTTTTTTCCTTTTACAGTTTCCATGATGTCCATCGTCCTCCCTGGTGAGCAAGTCCCAGCCCAGCACGTCAACCTCAAGCTTGGTCCTGGCCTTCTTCAACTATCGAGCGAGACACAGCAACAAGCAAAATCAGCTCCTGTTATTGCTACTCGCTCAGGCGTCCTTAACCACTCAGCCAACAAGAGCAAATGGTGGGTAGAAGGCAATTCAAGAAGAGTACGGCACTCTACCCCTTGGTGTGCAAGCTAGCCATCTAATACTCATTTCCAGTATGTTCCGGCGCCCCAGGAAAGTGTGATCGGCGTGATCACTGGACGAAGTGGTGAGGGTTGGCGCGTCGACATTGGATCTGCGCATCCTGCCTCCCTGGATGGCTTGGCGTTTGAAGGGGCAACCAAAAGAAATAAGCCGAGTCTAAAGGTACTTTAACGTTCCTTTCCAGTGCCAATGTATAGCTTCTTGATGAATCAATCAGGTCGGTTCACTCCTTTATGCTCGCGTTTCATTGGCCCATAAAGATATGGAGCCTGAACTCGAATGTTTCGACGCCCAAACTCACAAGGCTGATGGGTTTGGTGAGCTAAAAGATGGCTTTGTGCTTCAGTGCAGTTTGCAAATGAGCCGACTGTATGCTAGATTCTTGCTGTTGTGTCTCCTTGTTCATTATATCTTTCATCCAGATTACTTGACCCTAAGCATTTTCTCCTGCCACTACTTGGATCGCGTTTTCCTCTGGAAGCGGCAGTGGGAATGAATGGAAAGGTATGGGTCAGTACGAAGGAGACAAAACATACGATTACCGTCGTGCGGTGTATTGAGGCAGTTGATCCAGACGGCGGCGGGATGGATGAAACTAATGTGAAGAAGTTCCTTAGCAAATTGGATATATAATCGCTGTACATTTTCTCAGTTTTGAGAGATACCTGTGGCGCGCACAGGTAACGACACTTAAAGAACTAAAAAGACAACGATGATGCATACATATACCACAGTTTCTCTCAACTCAATCATCATCTGCTATCCTCGCGCGTTTCATTGGACGCCTTCCTGTACCGATGCTTTGCGAGTCTTCGTCGCTGACAGTACCCGCACTTCGTCGCATAGCGCGTTTGCGTCGCTGATATTCTCTGTCACGGTGCTTTTTCTGCTGCGCAGCAGTTAACTCTTGCGTGCGTGGAGCCGGAGGTACGACAACAGTAGTCAGCCCTGGTGTTGTTTGAAGCCTCATATCGTCAGGTGCAGGTGTCGAATCTTCACCTTCTCCGAGAAGATCCAAGGACTGAGGAAGAAAAGGGGAATACTCCAATGAGATATTTATCCATATCTTGAATTCCTTGGACACACCTTCTGCCATGTTCCACTACTTGTTGAAAACCACCGGTCACCATCCCCAATATCGTGCTTTCTACGCGCCGCAGCACCTTGAGTGGGCTTAAGATATCCGTCGAATCCATGGATGATATTACCCGTAGTGGAGGTTTCAGCGAGATAAGACGTTTCTAGTGTATGTATTAGGACTTCTGTTTGTGCCTGTATATTGCATAGAGCAGTTTGAACAATTCAAGTTAACAAAGAGGGTCGACGTACAAGTTGTCTGTCCGCGGCCCTTTTCTTCTGAATCATCTTCACAAGTTCATCTTTCACCTTTTCATATCGTGCCCTCTCCTCCGCGGTAGGAGGGTCTTTGCTTGCCATAGCAAGGTTCCAATGAACTTAGAGATCAAGTGCCATCCACACAGTCAATAGCCCTCGAGTAAGTAGTTTGACAGTGTGGCTCAGAGTGTTACAGAATCCTCATTTGGCAATTGCAAAGGCTTTAGAATTTAACAAGGACAAATATTAGACACTGACTCATGGCAATGAGGATGCGCTCAACGCACAGGTGTATGATTTATTGTATCGACTGACCTCCCTCGCATTGATAGGGTACAACCGCAGAGTTTGTGGATAACTTGACTGACTTGCTGAATGCGTACCAGACTATGACATTCGATGGGAGAATTAAACTTGGTCAAACTATTATTTGTCGAGTTCAGCGCTCAGCAACTGTTTATCGATATCGATATCGATATATATATATATGGGCTTGCTCGAACAAACTCAATTGATTGATTGCTACCTAGTTTCTGACCACAGCATGTACTACAGTACAGGTAATCTCTCACTGCGTTAGCGTGTGCTCCGATTTCCCTTTTTGGGAGGAGTTACGCGTCGGCGACGAGTATCTCAGTTCAGCACTGTATCATCGATTTGTACCACCCGCTTCTCAATTCACATGTCCTCAGCTCCCTCCTCTGAACCTCCATCAGACCCTCCTGCAGGTGACAACGTGCAGAAGCCAGATGCACCACAGCAACCAGAAGCTTCACCTTCTCCAGGGCAGGATGGCGTTGAAATGGACATAACGCCAGATCAACCCGCAGAAGAGACTTGGGATGACATTCCAGAGGAGATAAAGGCTTTGACAACAGAGGAGATTTTGACAAGAATACGGCTAATTGATAATGACATCAAGGTGCGTCGTTTGCATCTTGCAATACGATTACCAGTGTTTAATTCAAGAGTGCTTTGTCCTAATGATGCAGGTCATGAAGTCGGACACCCTACGATTACAACATGAGCAAAACGTAATGAAGGAGAAGATACGTGATAACGGGGAGAAAATTAAGCAAAATAAAGTCTTGCCGTATCTTGTTGGAAATGTAGTAGAGGTGCGCACAACCAGGTTATATTGTCATATCCCGTCGTTCATCTGCCATAGATCTTGGACGTTGATCCTGAATCAGAGGAGGACGGGGCAAACCGCGACTTGGACTCAATGCGCAAGGGCAAATGTGCTGTTGTGAAGACATCCACTCGACAAACTGTTTTCCTCCCTCTTATAGGTCTTGTACCTGCCGACCAGTTGAGACCTTCCGACCTTGTCGGTGTTAACAAAGACTCCTATCTGATCCTCGACAAGCTTCCGACTGAATATGATTCACGCGTCAAGGCAATGGAGGTTGATGAACGTCCAACAGAAACCTACACTGATATTGGTGGCTTGGAGAAGCAAATTGAAGAGTTGGTCGAAGCCATCGTTTTGCCGATGGAGCAGGCAGACAAGTTCAAGACCTTGGGAATAAAACCACCGAAAGGTTGTTTGATGTACGGGCCACCAGGTACGTGTGCATCTGATTTACACGCGTGCCATCGCTTACATCTTCGATAGGCACTGGGAAAACTCTTCTTGCCCGTGCATGTGCAGCGCAAACAAAGGCTTGCTATCTCAAGCTTGCCGGTCCTTCACTTGTCCAGATGTTCATCGGTGATGGCGCTAAGCTTGTTCGCGACGCGTTTGAACTTGCCAAAGAGAAAGCACCTGCAATTATCTTCATTGATGAATTGGACGCTATTGGAACAAAACGTTTCGACTCAGAAAAGAGTGGTGATCGTGAAGTGCAGCGAACGATGTTAGAATTGTTGAACCAGCTTGATGGTTTCTCGAGCGACCAGCGAATCAAGGTGATACTATTCACTATCGGCTTGCTTGAGCTGTCTTTACTCAGTTCATCTTGCACAGGTCATCGCAGCGACAAATCGGATTGACATCCTTGACCCCGCCCTTCTCCGTTCAGGTCGTTTGGATCGTAAAATTGAGTTTCCACTACCAAACGAGACAGCTCGCGCCCGTATCCTAGAAATTCACTCACGGAAGATGACTGTCAGCCCAGACGTGAACTTTGAAGAGTTAGCGCGTAGCACAGACGAGTTTAATGGTGCTCAGTTGAAGGCGACTTGTGTGGAGGCTGGTATGATCGCCCTGCGCGAGGGTGCTACCAAGCTTGGGCACGAACATTTCCTAAGTGGGATCGCTGAGGGTGAGTAGCTTACTTCCGACGACTATATCGTATAACTTTCTAACTGTGTCGTGCAGTACAAAGCAAGAAGAAGAACAATTTGATGTACTTCGCATAGGTCGCCTTATCGATTCATTCTGTTGTGATAGATTCGATTATCGCATTCAGATTTTCACCCATGTCACTATCATTATTTCCATTGCCAGCTTTGTGCCATACTGAGGGGGTGCGAGTGCACCTCCTGTAATACTGTTGCTCTCGTCAGTTACTTGACTGGGTGGCTGCTAACATGATGTTACTTGTTCCTGGACTCCTTGAGCTCGATGTCGTGTCACGCAGAAATCCTTTCTTGGTTTCCCATAAATAATCATCTAAGATCGTGCGATCGTGCAGCTCTACCAAAAATCCTTAACGCTGCCAACCCAACCCCCGTCTAAACTTATGATGGTACACTTTATGGACACCTTTGCAGGAGCCTGACTACTAGCAACATGACTGGGCGCAAGGGGCTGTTACGGGCCTTGCACCTGGTGGGAAGAGTGATCACTCGATCAAACAGGTTCTCTGATATTTTCAATACCGCCTTGGTCACGGTAAGTAACGATCGCAATCGTATATATATGCATCCTCATAAAAACAGCTGTAATTCCATTGACCTGCGTGTATTCATTATGATTAATTTACAGTATGCCATCGGAAATGAAAACCAAGTGATGAGTGGAGTATGATGGTAAGTAAGGTAATTATGCTCTAGAGTTCATCAAGGTATACCACCATGACCAGCCAGTATCTATTTCTTGCTTAATGCTTGTAATTGGACATATTCGTAGTAGTCGCCCTTCAGCGAAAGGAGCTCGTCATGAGTACCAGCTTCACTGACACGACCTTCCTTAATGAAGTATCTGCGAAGGAAGTATTAGTACGATTGTCTCCGAAACATCGGCAGTGACTTCTCACATGCAGTCAGCATTCTGAATCGTCGAGAGACGATGAGCTATTGCTATCGTCGTGCGACCCTTAGCGGCTTGATCAAGAGCTGCCTGCACCACCTTCTCGGAATTCGAATCTAACGCTGAAGTGGCTTCATCTAACAGAAGGACCTTCGGGTTGCGAAGCAGGGCACGGGCTATTGCAATGCGCTCTAATTGGGGAGTAAGTACCTTGGAGAGAAACAAATACATCGGTCACGCACGCTTTTGGCCACCAGAAAGTTGCGACCCTTTCCCACCGACCTCAGTGTCAAAGCCACTGATCGTAATGTCAGTAAGGTATTCGTTGAAACTGACGATTGGAGACATACTTTGGAAGAGATTTGATGAAATCCAAAACATTGGCATTGCGGCAAACATCCTCAATTTCCTCCTGAGTTATCTCAGACTCTGGCTTGATGGCACCTAGCAGGATATTGAAGCGAATGGTGCCGGCGTAGAGTGTCTAATTAGTGAATGGGACATTAGACCAACTGCCCTCAGGATTATATTCTATTTGCTTACTGGTTCCTGGGACACAAGGGCAAGCTGCTTTCTGTATTCCTGAATGTTGAACTCGTCGACGGGTTCGTTATCAAGCAGAACCTGGCCTGACAACGGATCATAGAATCGCTCAATCAACTGGATACTGCAGTACAGCATGAGAGCACTGAAAGGTCGAGGAAATTGGTCGCTTACACTGTACTTTTACCGCATCCACTGGCACCAACCAAAGCGACGTATGTACCTGGCTCAACCTTGAACGTTAGGCCGCGGAGGACACGGATGCCAGGACGAGTGGGGTAACGGAAGTGAACATTCTCAAAGCGAATTTGGCCCTTAACGAATTCTCCGGATATATTCTTCCCTTCAGGCGACTCGGCATCAATCTCTGGGATTGAATCGATGAGCTTGATGATTGCTGCACCAGCACCCTTGGCGGACGAGATATCCGGTACAAAGGCGAAGACATTGCCGGCTTGAATTGCCCCGAAGGTTGTGCTCTGATACGATCAAAATAAATGGAAGGCTAAATGAGGTCTCTTCTTGACTTACCATGAGTGCAACGAAGAATCCCGTGGTGGAAATCTTGAAATTCGAGACGAGGATTGAACCATACCAGAAAATCAATGAGATGACGAAGAAGGACATGGCTTGAGAAAGGGAAAAAAACAAGGCACTCCATAATGCAGTGCGATTCGACCTGCGCAAGGGCCCTTCTAAGCTGTCGCTGTAGAGCTGTAGGAAGTCTTCCTCGCGCGTCAGCGATGCGACTGTGCGGATTGCTGCAGCAGCCTCGCATGCAAGCTGCGCCGACGACTCATGTGCTGCCTTATTCTGCTGGTCCTTCAAGACGACCACTCGCTGTAGATAAGTTAATGGGTGGGAGTTCCGAAGCAAATATAATGTTACATACCAGACGAATATAGCCTGCAGAGATAAGCACAGGAATACATGCTGCATTCGGAACGTAAGTAGAAGTTCGATGATGCTGAAGAAACATCGCACCCATTCCGACCAAAGCTGGCTGCCATGCATAGGACAATCCGATCACCGACCCAGCGATTACTGTGACGCATGCTTGCACGATTCTGCTTAGGCATGAGAATTAAACTACACCACGATAAGTGTCAACTTACGCTCCAAGAGTAACGCCAGCGAGGCCATTTACTTTCTGCGGATTGTCGCTTAGATTCGACGTCAGTGCACCAGTCTACAAGGTTCTGTCATTAAGTGGGACAACCATATCCTAGTGGAACAACTTACGCTGTTCTCCTCCTTGTCGAAGTATTCAACTGCGAGGCATAAGGTTTGATATAAGAAAAAAGTATGTGACACTCACTGTCTTGGCGAAGGATGGCCTTGAAGGAGATTGACCGCAATTTAGCCGTCAAAATTGCTGCAGAGGATGCAAAGTAATAATTTTGCAAGCCAATAGATATTGCAGACAAGATGGCGATGATGAAGAACCTATTTTGAAAATTAGCGGACGCAGTCCGTATATGCGCATAAGTACACACCATAGGGCATTACGATCGCCATCATAACGTCTCTCAGCGTTCGTCGGTGCAGAGAATCCAGCAATTGCTTGACCTATAAGGGATATGTCAATACCCAACCCAGAGATACGCGAGGGTCAAAGATTTCTCACCATATACGATACCAAATACAGGATAAACAGCGCCAGTACCTATTCGTATGGCATGTTAGAGTAATAACGAGGGACTCTTGAAGTAACATACAAATTGCAAAAAAAGTACCAATTGCATAGCGATGCAATCCTTCCCGGTTAAGAGCTCCCACACGTTTGAACAAGTAGAACAAACTATAGTCGTCTTCGTTGACCTCGGCCTTCTCTTTCTCCTCGTTGCTTTTCTTTACGATATCGCTGGTCACCGAATGATTTGTGTATTTGCGATCGAGAGGAATCTCTTCCAGGCTGGCCTTCTCCATATCTTCTTCGGCACTGGCTCCTGTTGTGCTCTCGATGTTCTGATCTTCACGCGACTCGCGCAGCTTTTGTGCTTGGACGAGGCGCGCGTATGCGCCGTCCTCATCGGCCAATAGCTCATTATGGGTACCTTGCTCCAGAACGAGACCGTCTCCCATGACAAAGATCCTATCCGCATCTTTGATCGTTGACAGTCGGTGAGCGACGGTGATAGTCGTACGCCCAGCAGCAGCCTTGTCCAATGCATCCTGAACAATACCCTCGGATTGCGTATCAAGCGCACTAGTGGCCTCGTCAAGAAGGAGAATGCGGGGATCGGAAACGATGGCACGAGCGATAGCTATACGCTGCTTCTGCCCACCTGACAACAAGAACCCACGTTCGCCGACCAAAGTATCATATCCTAGTGGCAGCTTGGTGATGAAACCATCAGCATTTGACTTGATACACGCTTCTCGAATGAGTTTGAATTTCTCTTCTTCAGAGGCGTTCTCGTATGGGGTGCCGATGAGGCCGTGTAAGACATTGCCTTTGATCGTTGTCGCAAAGAGTGTGGGTTCTTGGGAAACTAAACCGATCTGAGATCGCAACCACTTTATGTTCAACTCCCGCAAATCAACACCGTCAAGTTTGACGGAGCCACTCGAAGGATCATAGAAACGCTCGATAAGGGAAACGATGGTCGACTTTCCAGAACCAGATGCCCCAACGAGTGCAGCAGTCTTACCAGCAGGGAAATTTATGCTGAGACCTTTCATGATATGGACGTTGGGGCGGGATGGATAACTGAATTTAACGTCCTCGAGAGTGATCTTGCCAATGACCTTTTCGGGTCTCAGACCTCCTGGATCAGCGGAGTCTATTGAGGGAGTACGATTGATCGTAGCATATAGCTTAGCTGCAGCTCCACGTCCATTGGTGATTGCTGAAATGAAACATGAGACGGCGCAAGATACACAAAAGAAGTAAAGCTTACCTTGCATCTCGGGTGCAAGAAGGGCCAGAGAGAAAGAACCAATCAAGATAGCCAAGAAGACATTTACGACTGCACCAGCATTGGCTATATTTACAATATTAGAAAAATTCTTCTATTACTTCAAGAATGTGAGAACTTACCGAGCCCCTCATTAATGAGGGTAGTGCCAAAGTCAAAGGCGAGAGCATATGCGCAATAAATGACGAAGAAGAAGCAGGCCAGTCCACCACCATTCCAGATGGCACCCTTAGAGTTAGCAATGCGGGAACCATCGACGTGCTTGTCATACAAAGACGTCAAGAATTTCTGAGCTCCGAAAGCTTGCGCAGTTCTGACAGTGGAAATGACCTCTTCAGCAAGGGATCCTCCCTCGGCGACATGGCTGAGAGACATTCTGTATTGAATTACATCAAGTGACCTTTGTTCCCCAGAGAAGAAACACTTACTGCATATACTTGGAGACGAATTTGTTCATGACAGCTCCGGTTATGGCGATGCATGGAAAAATCGATGTCAATGCCAAAGCAAGGCGCCATGATCGAGCATATGCGAGGGCGAAACCAGTAATGAATGCGGCAAGGAAGCTCACGACGATAGGGACTTTTTCGGATATGCCTTGTTGTACCAAATCTATTTGTTACGTCAACAAGGCAGAAAAAAATTATGGGCCGATAATAACTCACGAGTATCGGTTTGAATGCGAGTAGCAACTTCTCCAGCTCCGACATCATCGAAGTAAGCAATTTCCTGACGGAGCACCGCTTGGAGATACCGTTCTCGTATTCTTTTCGCATTAACCTCGCCGGTGTAAGTCCAAACAGTCATGTACACATATGTGCACACAAACATGCCGACACCTGTAAACACAGTTAATGGGGAGTTTGACATAAAGACAATCATGGATTCACCAATGTATGTCAGATAGGAGGCATCTAGTGCAGAACTCTTGCGAAATCCAACTGCTGCGG